TTAAAACCAGTTTTAATGCAAAAACTGTTTCTTACCAGCGGAGGTAACTGACTTGTAGAATACCTACTGCTGTTTCCCAAGACTTGAAGGCCTACCGATGCAGTAAATGCAGACACAGAAACTGGTGGATGACAAATTTTTCTTTTGCAAAGTTTTCTGTTTCTGAGAAACTGTTTGACTTTGTTTGTTTAGAAATAACTTTCCATCCAGATATGTTGTGATGCAATAGGAATTGCTCAAAAATGAAGCTAAGACACATTGTATGGAGCCTGTCAGCAGTCGCCACGTTGCCAAAAATGCTAATGAAAGGCACTAGCTCACTGTGTGCATGCCTGGTGGGTTTTGTGGTTGATAATTCCAGCCAGCCAGAGCCATATGCTTGTTAGTAGGAGCTCTTCTTAAGGGCTACTTTTTTAAAAAAAGAAAAAAAAAAATAATTTCCCACACAGAGCTTCATCTCCAGAGGACTGGTGAAGTGTCACTGGGCTGGAGCAGATTAAAAGATTTTTATTCTTTTTTCCTTTTCTTTCTTGTTCCTACTCTCAGCTGGATCAAATTGTTCCATGAGAAATACCTTCTCAGGCAGCTGTCTGCCTCATGGTAATCACGAAAAATTCAACTTTAAATAAATGAACAAAATAATCTGAAGTTAAACAGAACAGGGGTGTAGAGTTTGGGGTTTTTTTTATTTATTCTTTTGCTTTTTCCTGCTCAAAGGCACTTACTCCTCAGAGCTGAGCTGTGCCCTGGCATGCCAGGACTCCTGATGGGGTGCCTGCCTGCTGAGCAGAGACCTGGCACGGCGGTTCACCCTGGCCAGGGATCCCTGGAGACTCGCCTGTCTCTACAGCCACTTCCTCTGCTTCTCCAGTCCTTCAGTTTCTGGGCACGCTTCTCACGTGAGCTGGTGCCAGGAGTCCTGGAGACCCTCCTGGGGTGCTGGTTCCCTGCCTCACCCTGTGTAGAAACAGTCAATGAATTTCCCTGGAAAGGAGGGTCATGATCTGGCCAGCCCTGTTGCCCGGTTCAGTAGATCAGGAACAAACACAGGGCTGGATTTTTCTCATGATTCTGATAAGAGAATTCAATAATGTATCTCGAATAAGAGAGCAACCCTCTGTGCTGCAGATAGTGCCAGACAGAGATGGAAATATGAGCATACATACGGAAAACCAAAGAAAGGGCTTTAGAAGACCAGGTTTATGACAGGACTACTGGTACTTTGCTGGCACAGAGTTTAATGTCACTGGCGGTTTATCAGACTGATCTGAGCTGGCTAATAAGATTTTCAATAAGTGATAAAGATACTGTGTGTTTGCCTTGTGTTATAAAAGCAGCTACAGTGCTTTGGCAACACTTCAGACATTTTACACCTTTATCCCTTGACCTCTTCTTAGTTACTGTGACTGCAGTAGTGATGTATTTTAGAAGTTAGGTAAAATAATAATGGTAAGTCTGACTGATAAAGAGATGAATTGAGAGGAATAGAATTACCTCTAATCCAGCATGATGCTGTGGAAAAGAAATTTTTGCAAGCAAACCTGATTTTGTTTCGAAACTACACACTCAGCTTTGTAAGAGGGATGACGTGACAGCACAGATCTAGCGGAAGAAACTAAGAAGGAAATGTTAGCACTCACTGTCTATGTTATGGCTGCATTAGCGTTGCTTCTTACTGACACATTCTTAAAAGTTTTCCCATCTCAACTGAAAGACATTTTGTCATCTTTTGCCTCTTTCCAGTTTTTCTGAGAGCAGACTTTTTTTGTGCAACAGATATGAAAGTGTAGTTTGGCAGTTTATATGCAATCCTATTGAAAACCAGCAAATGCCTTCTGTTGACTTATGACGTCTACTGGGGTGAATGCTGCAAAGAAGTAGACTTTCCAGTCAGCAAGTGAAAGGAGAGAAGAAGGTCTCTGCATGCTGGAGACGTGAGTTCACTACAGCCTTGTGCGACCCTGAGCATGTGATTTCTGTGTCCAAGATTTCCAATTATAAAACGGTCCCAAGCAGCACTTCTTGAAATCACAGGAAAACGAACTAGTGTTTTATTACTAAACTGTTGGGACCTATTTTTGGCAAGTTGGAAGGTCAGCCTAAGTCTCTGTTGATATAGGAGCATCTATCTCTACACAGCAATTTTCTGTGCCAGACTAAAATGGGAGACAGGCTTTTTCCTAACAAAGTGCTTGAGTTTGTGATTAATGGTAAGGTCATGAGTGGTTCCCAGGGACTTGTGTTTTGCAGCATAGGGCATTGGTTTGGATACACTACTTATGCTTATTGGCGGTGCTGATAACGCATGATGTGTTGGAAGCATTTTTCTTGTGTTGGAAGGTAATTGTAGAAATTGACATGTTGTCACGTAAGCGTGTCTTGAAAGATGAATAAGAGGCTATTGGTCTGTGACCTGTAATCCCCTGGGCTGCCAGATGCAGAGGAGATCACCTCAAGGAACATGTGGGGTGCCTTTTATAATCCTTAGATGGGGACCAGTTTACAGTGGTTTAATCTCATATCATCCAATGGATGTGGTGAAGGTCTTAATGCCACATCACACATTGAGAGGAAGAGTCCCAAGAGCTTAACTAACTTCTGTGGTGTGTGTGCGGGTCCTCTCCCTGTGGAGTTGGGCTGTACTCAATTATTCTTTAGAGCAGTTTCTCTTGCCCTGGAAAAGAAAGAGGTTAGAGATATTACCCTCATGGGCTAATGTGAGCTTTTGTGCATATTTGCTACAAATACAAAAAGGATTCACTTGGCAATTTGGAAAAGCAACTAATAAAGTTTCTTTGACGTAGCACAAGAGGCTACTGAGAAAAGTGTTTGGAGTCAGGGTTGCTGAAGTGGAAAAAGGGAATGCATTTTTGAGCAAAAGAGATATTTCAGCTCTCACAGGTGAAAAGATTTAAATAATGAATTTGACTACAAGGTGGATGGATTCAGATCACTAAGTAGCAACATATGTTCTCTCTCAGGGCTTTTCATCTGTGGTTTACCAGCCATGCCACAACAAAAGCCTTTCGCTTTTCTGTGAAAGTGAGTCCATTTCTTAGTCTTCCCACAAAGCTGCATCAAGCGGTGCTTTCCTGTGCATGTGTTTAAGTTGCTTGGGACATGCCGTTCATGTGAGCTGCTATCTTTAACGAGGGGAAACAGAGGGATGCTGGTGCCCAAGTGCAACACAGACCTGGGACAGTGCAAAGAGCCGGTTTCAGTTCTGGAAGCGGGAGGGTGCGTTGCACCTTTGCTCTGCCAGGGGTTGTTAAGTTGGGTGAGAAAAGGATGTATCAGCCTAGGCTTAGTGCTGCCTTCAGGCTACCGTGTGGCTTTCATTCAGTTTGCTCAAAATATTCTGTTGTGCGAGCCAAAATAGAGCAAACTTGTCAAGTCTCTGTGTTACATCGGTCTCTCCTCATCTGAGGGCTTTGGAAAGGAACACTCATGTGCCCTGAGGGACGTGGTTGAAAGTAAAAGTGCCACTTTGGTTGGGGGCAATGGTTTGGAGTGACTTGTCTTTACGTGCTGATAGATTTAGTCAAACATCCAGAAGAATGAATGGATTTTATTTAAAATATAAACATGGTATGTGATGACAAACTTTGTTATTACAAAATTCCCAAGTCCTTTGAATGCTAACAAACAACTGCTATCTAGGATTTACTTGCCTCCAAAAATAGCTGGAAACTAAACCAACTGAAAATATGGGTTTTGCAAGAGTAGGCTGTTGCATTTAGGATGTATTCAGTGTGCACCGTGAAGTAGCCCAGAAGTAAGAAAATCCAACTAGTCTATATTAGCTTAACAACATATTGCAAAGCGACTGCTAGGTCACTTCTTACGTCTCTAAACCGTTATAGCTTCTTGCAGTTGCAGAATATAAAGGTGGAAAACTGTTTTTGGAAAAGGCTTCTGTCAGTTACAGCAGCACCAAAGAGGCTGCGCAAAACAACTTCATGTGGTAGATAGCGAGGAAACGTCTGCAGGACTTCTTACTGAACCACTAGGAAATGGTTACCCTTCACATCTGCACAGATGTTGTTCACATTTGTAAGGTGTCTGCAAGCTTGCATGCTTTCTTCAAGCAAATTCCCTTTAGGGTTCGCTGAAAACTAGATATGGACTCAGAAAATATCTAACACCTAGATTAAGGGACATGAGAGAAGACAAGGAAAGGCTGACATGTAAAGTAACTTACGGCACCTCAGTAATCTTATCTGACAAATGCTGTGAGCTAAATGCCCTACCTGATAGGGTATGTTACAGCTGTAGAGTGGAAGGCAACAGAGGACAAAAGTGAAATTAATAAATAAAACAGTATTTTTCACAGACATGATTCAAGACTAGCAAATATGCAATATACTTTTTTGACATTAATAGATAAAATGTCTTTTAAAAACCACAGTTGTACACAGTTACTTACAATCTAGACAGGAGCTTAATTATTTAGTTGCAGCTTGGCTTTTTTTTAAAAAAAACAAACAAACAAACCCCAAACCCCAACAATTTCCCTATGCTGTTCGAATTGGTGAGTAAGCCTAGATTGCATCAAGTGAGATCTAAACTGCCTCTTCTCTTAAATGCCGTGGAGGCTGAGCCTGGGCAGCCCTCCCACAAGATACTGGCGCAGCGGTGGTGCACAGCTACCCAACTCTGAGCGTCCCTGGGGGTACTGCTTCAACAAAAGCTAATTGTGCTATTGCCAAGTGGTTCTGGATTCCGCGTGATGGGAGAACAGGACAACAAAATTTATTTTCACTTGGCTGGGATTTGAAAGCTGATCTCGATATGAAAAATCAATGTCCTGTCTCAACAGTTGACACTGGAGTGCTTCCCCTATGCAGAGCTAGGACAAACAAGGCTGAGACTTATTCACAAAAAATGTAGAATTTTAGTCTAGCAACTGGTGCAGGAGAAGGCAGGTGTTCCCAGGGCTCAGTTTAAAATCATCATCTCCACCCCCCTGTGACAAGATGGGGAAAACTGCCCCACCTAGGCAAGAGAGCTAGTATAGATTCCTCCTCCTTCAAAACCTCATACCATCAGAAAAGTTTACTGCTTTGCTATTTTCAACCGGTCGCCCTTGGCTGACTCAGGGTTGAACCAGCGAGGCACGGGCACTGGCACAAGTGCAGTTCTTGGCTTTCTGGACATTCATGGACAACACAGTGATATAGTCTGCACTCTTTTTTCTTTTTTTTTTTTTTTTTTGGGTGGAGGGATAGGACACAAGGAGAGGTTCAGTTTAAAATCCTCCCTGGAAGCTGCAGGGGAGTGCTTAAATAAAGACCAGCTGAATCGAGTAGAGCTTGACCACATTTGTTCCATCCTGAAAAGGGTAAGTCCAGGTAACCTGACATTAACATAGCAGAGAGCACTATTTTTAATTGGTCAGATTTCCACAGCCTGTTCTTTCACACAGTATGCACTGGCTTCTGTCAAAAGTGGAAGTCCCCTTTTCCGGTGGAATATTCGGTAAAAAACAAAATGTTGATACCAAGTGCACTTAAAGAATGCATGTTCCCTTACGTTAGCACATTCAGTGCTTAACCCTGTCACAGCAACTCCCATTTTTGCAGGACTGGGTCAAGGTGTTCTACCTCGTTCTGTACACAATAATATGCAGCTGGTGAAATAAGACAACGAAAGGATGTAGAGAGAAAAGTGGAAAAGATCACAAATCTCACTTTGCAGAGAGTCCTTCAGTTTTCTTTTTTTTAGCTGCCGTTCTTCACATTCAGTAGTTATTGTCAGGGTAAGGAGAAGCAGCAATAACTTCCCATGCTCCTGAAATGCGGTGGCTTCTGCTACTAACAAAGTCCTCGGTGGTGGTGACGAGAGACCGGGCACTCACCAGCTTTCAGCGCGCTGGCACAGAGTCGCTAGGTCCCAGGCTTACCGCTTTCCCCAGTGCAGGAGCTCAAAACACTGACAGACTATCAGAGAGGGCTGTCCAAAGTGGTCAGCTGGCGTGGTGACACAACTGTTGTGTAGACACAGCCAGTGGCTGGAACAGAAATCCAGCGCATTTTGCTGTCTTTTGTGTTGAAGAAGCTTTTTTGCCATCTCTCTTGGCACACTGCAGAAATCTGTCACGAGCAATGCTGCCACTGAGATGGGGGTGATGCTTCTCTTGACACATCTCCAGCTGCCCAAATTGTTGGCAGACTTTCCATTTAGACAGGTGCTGTAAAAACAAAACAACTTCTTTTTAGAAAAAAAATAGAAAAAAAATGCCCCAGAAATAATCATGTCCTAGAGTTGTTTTTCTTATGTAACCAGTGGAACAAGCTGCAAAGCTATGGAAAAGATGTATTCATGCCGCTGAGAGAGAATCAGCCGGGGTGAAGCCCTGCCTCGATACCCGAGACACTGGGGGCCCTCTGCCCTTGTGCCACAGACCGAAAGTGCCTTTCCTTCTGCAAATGTAAAAAGTGCTCTCCTGCTAACATGCCCCTCCCTTGTGAAGGTATGTCAGTGTCACCTTTGGTTCGTTTTAAGCTACTTCAGAGAACGAGACACACAAAACTTATCTGTGGCCAAGGGAAACCAGCTTCCTGAGGCTCCTCTACAGGCAGTGAAGGGATCCTTCCAGAGAGCAGTTCAGAATTGCTCCAGCTCTGAGTTTATCTTCAGTGGATCATCCTGCCGCACTGACTGTAATGGGTGTCTGGAGAGACTAACCCCACCGGGATGAAGTTACTTCTTCGCAACCTGCCTTCCCCATAGTTTCCAAAACCTTTTCCTTTGTAACAGCAAAGCTAGCCTCAGTAGGCTCTTTTTGGTTTTGCAGTATTCAGGATTCCCACCCCCCGTGAAACAATCTGACCTTCTTTATAAAGTGAAACCCACAGAAGCAGAAACACTTGCATCAGTACTGAAAAGCAAAATGCCGTGGCAGAGTGTCCCTGGGGGTGCGACCTCCACAGTGCCTTACTTGCCATCTACCACGCACAACTCGCTTGAAAATCTCAAATGATCATTGAATTAAGCTAGAATTTCTCCAAGAGCCCATCTTTTTGCCCCAAGGTAGTACCAGCTATTTCTAAATAATTCCTGACAGACACTGGTTTCCTCTTTTGTTAAGAAAAAAAAAAGAACAGCAACAAACCTGGACTGGTGGAGACTTGACAGCCTGCACAAACTCTCTGCCTTGGTGCTCAACTACCGCTACTCTTAGGCCTTTTTTCCTAACATGTAGCTTAAACCTCCTTTGTTTAAGCCTGTTGTGCCTCAAGTGCTGTGTCTGCTGGGTTAGGACAATAACTAACTTGTCCCATCCTCTTTAAGGACTCTCTGAAGAGGGTTGTTATTGTGTCCTTAATCAGCTTTGCTGTCTCCAGCCTAAACAAACATAATCTTCCATCAGAGCCCACGTTCCCTAGATCATTCTAATTTCTCTGGTATTGGTCCAAGTTGCCCTCAAATTGGGATGCCCAAAAGATACTGCCTTCCATGCCTTACATGGCTCTGTTGGCAGAAAACACCCCTCGGCGGTGGGACAGTTTCTGATAGCAGCGAACAACTAAAGCTGCTGTCCCACCTCCTCTTCCACAAATGGTGCAGAGACATGCCAAGGAAAAGATAGTTTCTGGAAGGCAAGTGTCTTTGTTTTGTTGTTAATGAACAAATAACGCTACAGCAGCCTTCAATATAAGATAAATATTTACTCCTATTTACATCACAGAGGTTTTTCTACTCATGGACTAAGTCCAGGGATTTAATAAAATAGGGCCTAGTATAAGTAAGTCCAGAGAAGAAAAAGCTGACCTTAAGTGAACTGCTTCTGTTATATTAATGCAGCTCACAGGAATGAAAGGAGAAATCTATCTTAAGGAGAAAATCCATCCTCCTTTCTACATTATGCTCTACAGGAAACAGTGTAATGCCTGTTTGTTGTTTAGCAAACACAAATGTTGTGATTCAGGCTGGGGTTGCGTGATGGGTCTGGGAAATAACTGACCGTTAACGCAGTTTGTATGACCAACAGAGAAGTTCTAGAGAAAGTTTTTTAATTTAAGCGTTATTTTGCTTCTGCTTGATATTATGAATTGGGTACATTCACAGCATCTGCTAGGGCAAACTATGCTTTCACTATTACAGTTTTGGTGGAACCACAGTATTTTCTGCCTGTTCTGCAGAGACAGCCAGGCAACAGTCATTTGCTTCAGTAGAAACTACCAAAGGAGATACAAAATAGGCAGATACTTCATCCTCTCTGTACTTTCGCAAGTCCCCTGTGCTGAGTTTGTTTTTCCAAATTTGTCTTGGATTTTTTTGCCCTGTTTCTATTTTTCCCCCACTATAAATGATAAATGAATTTGTAAACCAGCTGGCCTGCAGTATTGCATTCTTGCTTATAAAAAATATGAACATGTTGAAGGTCTAAACTGCGTTTTTTTTTTTCTAGAAAAGGAGAGTGCTTAGTACTTTTTAAATTGGGTGTATACGTGCTCAGGTTCATAGACAAGAGGCATATGATGTTCCTGTATCCCAGCTAAAGACCTTCTAGGATATGGTGCCTAAAAAGGCAGAGAACAACCATTTGGTGATGGGCACTGACATGATATGAAGTGATAAATGGTCAGTGTTGTCCAGACTTGAAAAATGAGCATTTAAAACAGATTTTCCAAGTTTGGCTCTGCCTGGTTTACAGCATAATCCTCCTGTCTTGATGGCAACAGTAGCTGCAGCACAGTTGTAGAACAGGAGGAGAGGGTGGCTTCAGACTGTACGCTCTGTGTCCCCTGTCAAATTGTCACGTCCTTTGGCCTGACTGTTGAAGGAACTTCTGGGAACTGAGACTCTCAGGCTGCCTTTGGCAACACTTGCAGAGCTCAAGGACAGGGCTGAGAGAAGAAGCAGGGCCACCGCTTTACATGCTTGAGTTTGTAACATCCAGCAAGTCTAACCCAAAGGCTTTGTGCTGAACTTGAGTACTGAAGCTATGAAGTTAAGTCACTCTTGAGACAAATACTGTAACATATTTTTAATACTTACAGTTGAGTCCTCTTTTGTCTTCATTTGGTTGGACATCTGTTGAAACAAATGCACTGTTTTAAACATGTAGGATAGATAACTATAGTCTTTAGCCAAACGGGATTAATATTAAGCAACATCCACCAAAATTGAGGGTTCAATGCGCTAAATGCTCTTTGGACAGCAAAATGCAGTCCATACTCTATTTTTTTATAATGTAGGTTACCATTTCAGCAAGGATAGATTTTTGGGCTTGAAGCAACAGCCCTGCTCCATGTTTTGAGACAGAGTCCTGCACCGCTCTCGGGTTGTTTCTGAGGGAAGGACATGGCTCCTAGCACAGCTACTGCAGATGTTGGGCAAGAACACTACCCTGCTTTTTCCTGCTCTTTTCTGAAGCACCTGGGCTTGCTAGCCACGAGGACGAGGGCATGGATTGAAAATGTGGTTTGTCTTTCTCCGTGAAAAGTGTGCTTGCCCCTGCTCCCTTTTCTTAGATGTTAGCTCTTATATACCTGCAAAGTGGCTTATAGAAGTACTCAGATCCATCCAGACTGAGTCTGGATCACACGATGTCTTTCAGAGTTGCCTTTTGTTCTGTCTTGCCAAGCATCAAAGAGTCCCGCACGTGCAAATGCAGCAATACAAGCGTACGCGTGTATTACATGGAGTGACAGTGAGACATGCTTTATTTCTAGCTTGTAGAAAGCTGCTTGATCCCAGTGGGATCTTGAACACTTAATTGCCCAGCCAGTGATTCTAAAGCTCTCAGGATTGACTCATCCTCTGATTTCTGCTTCGGATTGTGCTAAGCAGAGACAGCTACTGACCCCAGTCCTGTTCCATGGAGGAACATCCTCTCCATTTGTCCAGAAACCGCCTGCAGGGATCACAGCTCAGAAACTATGGCCTGAACAGGCACAAAGTCTGAGTTACTCTCACATCCAGTAGGCAGCTCCTGTGAGGCTCAGGTGCATTACCAGAAAACCATAAAGAATAACATGTTCTGGGGCACTATATGTCCTCCCCAGGGAACCCCAGGATTTTCATAACAGCATGATTTGCTGCTGCTGTTTGCAGAGAATTTACTCATACCTTCTAGCAATGCTCTGGATGACATTAAATATTTTGGCAAATGAAAAAGAATTCTTCAGATTGGGTCATGCAAATGAAGGGTCTCATTACCTGTGTAGGACACTAGTTTAGAGGACCTCCGTCTCCACAGCCAGCAGGTTAAAACAACTAGAAGACCTATCAGAACGACAATGGAAACGATGCCAGCTGCTTGAGCACCTTGTCCATTTTTTTCCAGGTTTTTGTGACTTTCTGTGCTAGAACCATTACTTTGCTTCTGCTGTGTGTCTAGAATAAAATAGAAAAAGGATGTAATAAGGTGTAAATTTTCACATTTCATACCAGGCAAATATTTGACTGCATTTTACATGCACAAAAAAATTCTGAAAGACTAAATATTTGTGCTATTCATATCACTGTGGTTCTGGTGGTGTTCCTTCTGAGCAAGGCACATCTCCAGCTTACAATGTCTAATGATACAATGCCAGTTTATTCCTCCCTGTCGTCATACAGCATGCATCCCTCTTTCTTCCTTTTTGTTCTTCTTTCCTGCCAGCCTTGGGAGACGGTATGTTTGAGCTTGTATCCAGACTCAGTTGAAAATAAATCTATACAGAATCTGTAATGTAAATCTGATGGTATTCAGTAAAGTGGGTGAAAACCTGTTTCCCTAAAGTTAGTGACAAATTTCCACTGATTGCTGCAAACTGAAGGTTTCAAGTCACATCTCTTACTCTTTCAAGTATGGTAGCTCTTTTAGAAACCAACAAAAAATAATAAGATGAAGGTCTTTTCCCCCAGAATACAATATGACAGAATGCCATTAGGAAACTAATGACAAGGTTACTTAGTTTTCCTTTTTAATTTGGGATGACAGCAAGGGTATGCTATCATATGAACACTCTACTTGTGCAATTTTTCCTTGTGCACACAATTTTTGTTCCTGGCAATAGTTTAATCTATAACCCCTGGCTACGATTGTAGGATCAGTGTCCTTAAGTCCAGAGTATGTGATTCCTTGGTGTGTTCAGGTAAACTAACTGTGGGTAACCAGCTACAGTTATGCAAACAATCAAACCTCCTTGCACCAGGGTGCAGAAACCCATGCGAGAGAGGTGTGGTGGGAGGCAGGACCAGGAACATCAATGAGACTGAACAGCCACCTCCAGATAAGCTCTCCCACTCCAGGAAGCTTCTCTACACAGCTGTTTGGAAATCATGAAATTCACTATTGCTACTATAGCTATAACTTTTTTAATAGCTTTTTTTTAAGTAGCTTTCTGTTTTTGTGAAGAGTGGCTAAATACTTGTTTTTGCTATTGATCACTCATATCAGCAATAAATAGCTTCTTATACTTGTGCTATTAAGTGTATTGTTCTACTGGGCTAATATTACCTGTTTGCTACAGGCCTACTTTATATAGTACGCTGTGTTAAATTGAGTTTTGGAGACTGAAAACAGAACTTCGAAACTAGGCAGAGTAAAAAGCAAGTCGGGTAGGGGTTCAGGAATCGTGGATCTACTGTATGGTGCCCCCTGAAAAATAACCTGACTCCCCAAGTCATCATGTTCCTGAAGGCAGCCCGGTGACTGCCTCGGACGCAAGAGCTTCTCAGTGCCGTTGTCATAACACGCTTGACGGGGTGTTCACTTCAGTGTGGGAGAAGTCAGAAGTAAACATAAAGTCCATGGCTAAGCATAACTAGCTTGAAACAACAAGTGTGCTCTTCTCGGCACTTTTGGGAACTACTGAATTAACGCGTACCCCTCGTTAGTGCCTATCTACAGAGAGACGCTGGTTGATATATCTGCTATCTGGAAAACATGAAGTATCATGAAGGGACTTACAGTTGGCTGACAGATTTTCCCGCAGTATTTTATTTTCTATGGAGCACTCTATTTGCATGTTAGAAGTGGCCTTAACCCTCAGCGTGCTAAAAACGCTGTAAGTGCCATCGGCGTGGGGGGTGATGTTTAGCTGCGATGGAGGCAGGTGGCTGTTGTCCGTTTTATTTATCCAATAAACATTGGGCTCTGGGTATCCATTGCCAGACTTGCAGCTGAAAGTCACCTCTTCTCCAGTGCTGTCACTGTTTCTTATCGGTCCACTGAGTATTGGTTGGCTATAACTAGCTGGAGAGCAAAAGAAAAAGAAATAGTCATCGACATGTTGAAACGTATCAAAAAGACAAAATTTTGATGTGGGTTCTGAAGCAGAAGTTCTGGGTTTCACACGACCTTCATGACTTGAAAGGGAAACACCTGCAAGTTTGGTATGTAAGCCAGAGAGCTGAGAGAATTACTGGAAGGGCAGAAGGCTGAAGCCAAACCCAAAGGAAGAAAGCAACTTCTTAAACTGCTGTCACCCAGTCATGTGCAAGAGCCCTTATATTAATGAAAACCAAGATGAAAAAAACCCCACATTGGATAAACAGCCATTACGGGTATTCTCCCAGTTTTAGAAACCCTATCCGTAACATTTAAATTAAGCAGATTTCATTTCAGCAAAGGGCTGAAGTATGTTTCAAAGTTAAGGGCATGCTTAAATGTAATTTTGAAATGGCATGAATTTGAAAAGCTGGAATGAGAATTTGGGCAAATATGTGCAAGTGATACAAGTTCTTACCAGCTAAACTGAGAACCACTTCTGCCTGGTGAATCACTCTGGTATATTCAGTTTTCTGCAGTACTACACATTTGTACCTATGTTCATCACTCTGGCTGACGTTTAGTAGTAGCAGAGAAAAATCGCCATTTTTCAATCTATCCCAGAATAACTGAGTCCTGTTTTTAAAGTGAATACACTGTTCACTTTCGTTGTCTTGACCAGAGATCAGTGCATGTACAACTGAACACTCTTCTTGATCATCAGCTATTTGCCAGTATACCCGTAGATTTTTTAAGTGCAATTCTCTTCCTTGATAAATGCAACTCAGTGTAGCGTTGTCTCCAAGTTTACTGACGATGATCTTCTCCTCCAGTGCAATAACTACAAGATTAAAAGAGAGAGAGAAAAAAGGGAGGTTATGTGGAAAAAATGTCATTCTTTTCAAGTATATTCTACCACATGTGGAATCCAGTATTAGTATTTATAACAGGCAGGTGAGTGTGCTCACTTCATAGTAATTCCTACCTCCTGACCTGCCGGTGGCTAATTCTCTCCATGTCTGTTTGTCTGTACATTTTCCAAAGGGGCCTTTTACAATATAAAGCCTTCTGCTTATTTCTTTCTCCGAGGACCAACCAGTCTAAGCGTTCCCAGCCCCATAGGTACCTGCGTGTTTCTCTTTGCCGACTGACTGCAGACACATATTCAAGTCCTAATGCTTTAATAATCACTTTTTAATTAAGAAAAATGCCAAATAACATCAGGTTAATCACAAGAAGTGGAAACACTGATAAGAAAAAGAGTGCTACCATTATTTTGAGACCCAAAAAATTAAAAAGGGGAGTAAAAACAGTGTTTCTCAAAGTGGACATGTCATAGCGATCACATTTTATTGCTACCATCGGTGTCACCCTCTCAACAAATATACCCAGCTGGCAAACCAGCATGTCCAGATACCTCCAGTGACACATTCATTGGACATTTACAACCTCTCATGGCCACTTGAGGTAGGCCAGCACAGTATCTGGCTTTCAGGGCGCTTTTCCTGGCCTCCAGACGTGAGAAAGGCAACCTCTCCTCCTGGTGAGCAATGAGAAGGCGTGAACTGGCTGACGAGCGATGCAGAAGGTGCAGGTCAGCTACTCCGAAAGGGCTAGGGTGGCTCTGACCGCAGCCTCCCTGCTGGGAGGGATGCATCACCTCTCCTCCACTCCAGCAGCCAAAACCTCTCTGGTGCAACTGGTTGCTGAGACCAAAGCAGTGTGTGCGTTGCAAATGTCGGACTAGGGGGTGAGGGGGGGCCAGGCATGGGGTTGGATGGGAGAGATTACAGCTGGGTGAAGGGATTATGCAGGTGGGTGAATTAGGGAAAAAAAGATGACAGAAGTGAGGGTTTGGAAATGTGGAAACAGTGCATGGTGAGGTGGGAGGGAGGAGGCAATGTTAAAGGGGGACACGTCTTTGTGTTGGTGCACTGGACTCAGAAATAGCTCATCTACACGTCTGAGTTGGGCACCCTGGCTTAAAAATACCACTGAAGCAAATGTAGTACTTGCAGGGAGGAAGGCAGTATGTTTTCCAGGCCCTTATCCTCTGCTGGGTGAGACGAGAAGTAACGGGTTTGAACTGCAACAAGGATGCTGCAGCTCAGACTTTGGGAAACCACTCGTAGCAGCAGGAAAAGTGATACTCTGGAAAGCATGGCCTGGGAAGACGGGGGCACCTCCATCACTGGCGTTATTAGGGAACAGGCCAGGCGGCATCTATTGAAACTGAATCTGGTACGCTTTGTCCTGATTTTGGGGCTGGGGACTTTCCTTGATGACTTTGTTGAGGTCCTTCTCGGTGATTAAGCAAGAACAGAGGATAGATAACTCTGAAAACATTTAAATATCACCAAGTGATGTCCTTTAACCCTACCTTTGTTTTGAAAGGGATTTTTGGAACGGTAGTAAAAGAGTTACTAGTATTGGGTACTTGATACAGTGACGTATAATTCTAATCATAATATGAGTATGGGCTTTATCCAGGCATGTTAGATCTGCTTATCAACAGCCCTTATTACCCCACTTCTGAGGCCTTTTGTTGGCAGAGATAAATATGCAGGGATGTCTGTAAAGCAAGCAGAGCAATCTAAGCAAGAGCATCCACAAGGTCCTTTGCTATTCTCCGTACTGAAACTGATAGAAACTGATTTTTTCTTCTTCTTTCCCTGATGCATGTCACACTGAGGAATTCTGAAGTGTCTTGCTGAAAACACACAGATGTTTATATTGTACATATTACAAATACTCCATGTATTTGGCCAAACACATTAAGGGAGGGCAGCTTCATTTTCAACTGAAGCGTTCTGAACTTACCAGCTCTCGGGATGTGAAGGAGCAGTAACAGAAATCCATAGCTAAAATAAAAAAGCAAACAGCGTTACATGATAGGCTTTAGCATCTCTGTTGCACTAAAGCCAATATTGATTGTTTCAGTATAGTAGCAGAAGTAAGTAAATTAGGTACTGCTACTATGTAATGTCCCATTAAGTATTTGCATTTTTGACAGCTGCAAAACTTCTGTTCAAACGACATAACTCTGTGGGTGGGTGGCCAAGGCCACGAATAGCAGTAAAACACACTAATATTGGAATCGGAGCAGAAGGCATGAAGCTGGTGTTGTGCCTGTCTTTCTTGTGAAAGATGAACCATATAGACTTGCTGGACAAATAGGCCCTGGAGGATATCTGGATCACTGGGAAGGAACACAGCTGCACAAGCCTAAATCCAGGTCAAAGCCCTGCATCCCACTGTTTTGCTGAAACTCAATGAGTTATGGTTTTATTGGGTTAAAGGATGACAAGCAGCTGACCATGCTGCCCACTGTTTTGTGCGCTCAGTAAAAATGTGTAAACAGGAAACGTGCTGATAGCAGGGAGCTGCGCAAAGGTTTTGCTGGAAAGAATTTGGCATGTTTGATTACTCTGGAGGGGCAAATCTATGCAGGAGTTTCCCAAGGGAGTTACACCTGCTGGATGCTCTATAGGAAAACCCAGTTTAACCTATCTATAAAGTCCAGGTGATTTAACTCTCGTCCCATAGGGCTTTAAGAAAGATAAACGTGCAGCGCTTTCCTAACAGTTACTTTAAAATAGCCTTTCATCCCCATGCCTAGCTATACGTTGTGCTCTCCTTCCACCAGACCGCTGTGGGAAAGGAAAGGAAGATACTGGAAAGGTTTTGGAATGGGAGCTGTGTGGCTACAGTTGCCCCCTTGATATTGCCCCGGGTGCAATAAGGTTGCAAAGCTGAGCCGATGGGCAGAGGGAGACGAGCACCTGCTCATGCCCAGTTTCCCCAGCTCGGTTTTGCAAGCAAGCAGGACTGTGAGGCCACGCTACCTGGGTGCAGCTTGGTTCCCCTCCCCAGTTGTTCTCAACCCTCAGCCAGGTCCAACACTGAGCCAAGGGCTGGGGCAACAGGGAGAGCTGCCCCCAGCAGCCCATGTCTACCCAGGGGCGAGCTCCAGGGTCTCCCACCCAGACTGCTTGCCTTCTTCCCTCCAAACCAACCCTGCCCTGCCTGACCCTCCTCCCTCCAAGCCCTAACCTAAGCCTACTCCCCCAGCAGCCATTTCTCACCTCGCTTTTCCCCCCCATCAGCTGTGCTTTACACCATCCCCTCTCTCTTCCAGGCCTCCTGCCCTTTCCCCACAGCTCCTGCCCCTTTGTCCAGCCGAGCATCAGGATTCGTCTGCCACCTCCCAGGCACAGCATCGCTTCTGCCCAACTTTACTTCTACCAGCTGCCTGGGCACAACTTGGGTCTCCTCTGCTGCTGCGGAGGGTCTCTAATTCCCACCTGCCCCCAAGAAAATTATGATCGTCCCAAACGTATTTGGCTTCCCACGGAGAAAGCAGAGGACATTCCCGACAAAATCTACCTCCACTTGAAGTCCCATCTCCAGAGAATGAGATGGGGAATGTTTAGGGAAGAGTCAGTCTGAACTGTATTACTTTTATATGAAGAAAACACTTTCTTTTCCTTTTCTGTGTCCTTTGAAATGGTTTCATAGATTAGGTTTCAAAAGTTTAAGTCGATGCCCAGAGTGGAATATTTCTGCTCTAACACTTATTTTAGTAAATCCGCAATCAGCCCTAAAGTAAGTCTCCCAAGTAATGGTACCTAAACACTCCAGGGAGGCAGCTCTGCTCTGTCTCTGGCAGTGACTTTTGGTGGCTTTTGCACACGGTCTTGTATCGTATCTCTGTTGTATTTGTACACTGTGCAGGAGCCATCACTTTTGTGCCAGGCTTGTAGAGGTCTGTCTTGACAAGCTCACCTTAATGTAGTTCTTAATCATTCTTAATCCCGTGGCTGTTTGTTTTATTGTTCCCCGCCCAAGTTAGAAACTATGGATATAGTCAGTTATTTGAATTAAACGGAGAACAACAATTGACTGATCTTTATGGGACTCTTCAGGGGATTTCCCATGGCAAGCATTCGTTGATGCCAACAAACATTTAGCTAGTCAGCCAGAACGGATTCTCTAACGTATGTATACAAAGCACGTCTTGATTTCTTATTTTAATAAATGATGTCACAGTTAAGACTGGATGGATCTAGAGATGCTCATCCTCTTACTTGGAGGAGGTTGCAGCTGTGGTAGTGTGGGGGCAGTGTCAGCCCACTATGTTCCCCTGGAATAGCTTTAATGCCAAGCTCCTGTTGGAAAAAGGGAGAAACGCTCTTGCCTGCAGAGAAACCTCCCTTTTGCCCCCTATGTACACTCAGCTCCTGCACCCATCACGCTGGCAGCGAGCTCCACTAAGCGCAGTTGTAACTGCATTAGTTTCTTAGGTTCTCTCTCTCCTTTATTTATTTGTTATAAAATTTTAATTTTTTAAATTTTTTTTTTCCTTTTTCAATTCTTTCCCACACCTTCACTCTCTATACGTTTTTTAAAATGTCATGTGAAACGGGAGAAAGTTGCACTTCCTCTTTCATACATTCTTGTTTGGTGAGATTATTTTTCCTACCAGCATCTCAACTTTTTCATGCGCTATTTATTTTAGAGTCATGGGATGTTGCTGTTCTGGCACAGACTAGCTGGACAAAAGATGTCCCGATGCTTGCAGTAACAACTTTGGGGCTTTTGCTCGACTGCTGAGATTCGCTTTATCCCCGAACCTTGTAGCGACATCGCTCTGCTCGCATCAGCAGGCGCCCTAAAGAGGTTTTCTGCGAAGCTTTTCTAACGCCTGCCGTAAGGCAACGCTC